ATTTGAAATAGTTTTATGCTACTGGAAGGAAGATAGGAGATTTGAAGTAAATTTTTGTTGGGATGTGTTAATATTTTGCTAACTCTGGAAGATAGGAGATGACTGGAAAGTTTAAGATTATTGTCTCGTAGTACAGCCAAAATTAGGAATGGAAATGGGCTCTTGCAAACTGACATTTATTATTAATAAACAATATCCTTTTGGACTATAAACTTCTGCTTCTGAATGATCTTAAATGAACTCTTATTCATTCATAGGGTGTGCTGTGCTGAATAGAGTCCCCACTGAATGAACTGAAAGAAACCAACCAATCTTGCCTCACCTTCCCCACTCTCTGATTTTTGATAAGGGGAGGAGAATTTGACACAGCAGTACAAAGACCAGCCTGTTGAATCTATAATAGCTATCATTGCATGCAAAGGGCAAACAAGGCAATACATTTATAAGTTTCTGCACATCATATAGTGGACAAGATACAGAATAAGCAATTCTCTGAAAACACTTTTTTCTGCAAACTCAGATATATAAGGGAAAAGAATTCATTACACCTACATTATGTTCTTCTCCATCTCTCTCCTACTTACAAAAGTTCTTTGCTTTAAAAAAAATTCCAAACAAGGAAGTTGTTATATTTATATGACTGAATAGTTGAAGGATGTATATTTAAGGAGAGATTTTCTGACTGTTAGAACAATTAATCAGTGGAACAACCTGCCTCCAGAAGCTGTGAATGCTCCAACACTGGAAGTTTTTAAGAAGAGACTAGACAGTCATTTGTCTGAAATGGTATAGGGTTTCCTGCCTGAGCAGGGGATTGGACTAGATGACCTCCAGGGTCCCGCCCAACTTTTATTATTATTATTATTATTATTATTATTATTATTATTATTATTATTATTATTATTATTATTATTATTATTATTATTATATTTTTTGCATATCTCGGCTACATATATACATATATTAATGGTTTTCAAAGCTAGGGGGAGACTCTTCATCTAGATTGGACCCTATACAAAAAGGATGTCAGACTCTTAGCAAAAAAACAACAAGATTCATGCAAAGCCTTCTTTAATTTGATTTATTGAAAAGGAAAAAGGGATTATGTTACAGAAAACTTAATAACTAGATCAGCGGTTCTCAACCTATGGGTCGCGACCCCATTTGGGGTCGATCGACCATTTCACGGGGGTCGCCAAGCAAGGCTGTCCGCCATTTTCCCCCCCCCCTTTTCCGGTGGGTGCCTTACCTCCCTTGAGCTGGGCCAGCTGGTGGTCGGCCTGCTCCGTCTCTGCTGCTTGCCAGCTACGCCTCGGCCGGCGCAGGGGGTGGAACCACGCATGCGCGGCACTCCCGGGCAGGGAAAGTCCTCGACTTACGACCGGTTGGGTAGTCCTCGACTTACGACCGGTTTAGTCCTCGACTTATGACTGGTTTAGTCCTCGACTTACGACTGGTTGGGGGTCGTGGCATTAAAAAGGTTGAGAACCACTGAAGTAGATGTTTTCACTAACAATCTATTTATTTCTCTATCTGCTAGAGTGGGGACTTCTTAACTCCCTTGGTAAGAACTCTTTGAAGAACAAGGAAAGTGACTAAACCCTTTCCTGATAATGGAAGACTGTGTGGATATTCTGAGCTAGTATTGCTTTGCAAATCATTATTCACTTCTTCGTGCTCTGAGATCTTTATAATAGATAGCATTACCTCATAATCAACCTTTTCCTTCTGTGATGTTTAGTCAGTGTGTTCTTCCAGTCTCCAACTGTACCTGTTAAACAGTGGTCAAAAGTATATCAACAATTTCTGTACAGGTAGTCTTTGAATTACGGACCACAATAGAGCCCAACATTTTTATTGCTAAGTGAGACATTTATTAAGTGAATTTTGCTTAATTTTATGACCCAAGTTAGTAACACAGTTGTTAAGTGAATCTGGCTTCCCTCATTGACTTTGCTTGTCAGAAGGTCACAAAAGGTAATCATATCATCCCAGGACACTGCAACCTTCATAAATACAGTATGCGCCAGTTGCCAAGTGTCTGAATTTTGATCACATGACCATGGGGATGCTGCAAAAATTGTAAATGTGAAAAATGGTCATAACTCATTTTTTCAGTGCCATTGTAACTTTGAACAATCACTAAATGAACTAGTGTAAGTTGAGGACTACCTATATTTAACTTAACTAGAGACTATAGTACTAAGAGTGTATACTTTTTTAATGATGCCTTATCATAAGATCACACCAGAAGGGACATCATCAGGTTCAGAATAATGCCAGAAGTGGACGGGCATAACATCCCCTGTGCGACAGCCAATATGATCTTTCTCACAGGATATACCCTGCAAATCATGTCCACAATGGCAAGCAAGTCAGTCTTCACTTGACCTCCATGTGCAAATAGCATGTTCTCTGATGGCGTGCTGGCTGAAGAATTCTGGGAATTGAAGTTTTTACATCCAGATGAGGCCAGAGACTTTTTTAGTAGTGTATTGAGTGAGGGCAGGGCCATCATAACAATTATATTTGATCAGATCATATAATTACTCAAATATTATGTCACTTTCCTAGTATGGGAGATTGGAAAACAAAACTAACAAAGCAACACTTCCGAAAAAGAAAATTCTCATGATATACAGGTTGTCCTTGACTTACAACAGTTCATTTAGTGACTGTTCAAAGTTACAATACCAGTAAAAAAATGACTTATGACCATTTTTACCACTTATAACTGTTGCAGCATCCCCATGATCATGTCATCAAAATTTAGATGCTTGGCAACTGACTCATATTTATGATGGTTGCAGTGTCCTGGGGTCATGTGATCACCTTTTGCAACCTTGTGACAAGTAAAGTCAATGGGGAAGCCAGATTCACTTAACAAGTGTTACTAACTTACCAATTGCAGTGATTAACAACTGTGGCAAGAAAAGTCATAAAATGGGACAAACTCACTTAACAAATGTCTCATTTAGCAACAGAAATTTTGAGCTCGTAAGTCGAGGACTACCTGTAGTTGCTTTGAATGCAGAGAATGGGCTTAGTCCAGCTACCAAGGAATGCCAACAGACTTTCTTTTATATTTGAAATAAAAAGTAGATTCATTAAGACAGGGCTTTTCAACCTTTTCACCCATTGTACCACTTTTAGGATATGGCAATATCCGAGTATCACCAGTCGCCTAGCAAGGTGTCAAAAACTTGATGACCAAAAAAAAGGAACAAAGTGATACAGTACAGGTAGTCCTTGACTTACAACAGTTCACTTAGTAACTGTTCGAAGTTACAATAGCACTGAAAAAAGTGCCCCCCCAATGCACAGCAAGACACCTGCCTGCGGCGCTCTTCCTCCTGTCCGAGGTTTTCATTGTTGTGAGCATTTCTGTTGAGGATTGGCAACGGGGGTGGGGTGGGGGTGTTTGGTTTTTATTCCCCCCATCTGTGGGTGGTTGTAGCACATTTTGGTCACTTCACATGACCCTGGGACACTGTGACCGTCATAAATATGAATCAGTTGCCAAGCATCTGAATGTAAATCACAAGATCCTGGAGATGCTGCAGCATTCCAGCTGATTGGCGCTTCTGGGCTCAGCAGAAGCACCAGGATCAGCGCCAAGCTCCAGCTGGAGCCTGGCGCTTCCGCTGTGCCCTGACAGCCCCAAAGAAGCGCTGATCCTGGCGCTTCCGCTGAGCCCTGACAGCCCTGCAGCTCCAGCCGTCTCTCGCTAAGGCTTGTGCGGTGCTGCCACCGGTTCAGCTCATTCCCCTCCCCCCTACCACTTTTCTAGGATGGTCATGTACCACCTGCCAGGTGCCAATGTACCACAGGTAGTACCCGTACCACTGGTTGAAAAGCCCTGCATTAAGACATCTATATGACAAGATAGCAGTTATCCAATATTTGAATGGCTGCCACAAAGAAGAGGAGGGTCAGCCTATTCTCCAAAGCACCTGAAGGCAGGACAAGAAGTAACAGATGGAAAGTTATCAAAGAAAACCAACCAAGAACTCCAAAGAAATTTTTTGACAGAACAATTAATCAGTGGAACTGATTGCCTCCAGAGGTTGTGGAGGTGTTTAAGAAGAAACTGGACAGTCACTTGTCTGAAATGGTATAGGGTCTCCTGCTTGAGTAGGGGGTTGGACTAGATTAGAAGACCTCCAAGATCCCTTCCAACTCTGCTATTCTGTTATTTCTGATAGAAGAGAGTCATGCTTGTACTCTACATCAGAAAAATCTTCAGAAGATTTGTGACTGCTGCAATTACCATAGGAATATAAAAGCAGGGTGCTTTGAGCTAATCACTGGAGAGTGTTAATTCAAAGACTGTGAAATATAAAACATATCCTGTTAATGCTCTACCACAGGGGTCTTCAAACTTGGGCCAAGTTTGAAGACCTCTGCTCTATCAGCATTTACATAGCAATTAATTAAAATTGGTTTCTTTACTCACTCCATGTCCTTTGCTGGGAACTAAAGATGGACTATTAGCCATTTCACAGTGTCTAGTGAAATTTGCAGGATATGTAAATTTCTTCATCACTAAAATTGCAACATGGTTTATAACATCCTTACAATATCAGTTTGAAGAAATCATTTTATCAACACCCCAACAACAGTCTTTGTTGCATTCTGTTAGCAGAAGCCTTGAATTGCCCCATATGTTGGTAGTGTCTATGATGTAATTTGCAGAATCGTTATCAAACACTTTGGAATCTGAGGCGGCTGTATTATTTTCAAACACACACATAAGTTTGAGCTGTTGAATTTCACAGTGGCCTGTAAATGTCCTGCCTAGCATGTGTGCAGAATCACTTTAAAGACATCTGAACATGAATTCTGACATGTCTGGATGTGCAAAACCACAATTTTGCATTTATTCATAAGAAGGCTCACAGTGCTTGTCTGAACGTTTAACATTTCCTGGTTTTGCTTGGAAGGGGAGGAGTGAAATTTGATAAACGGGGGAGTGGGGGAAGAAACAAAGAAAAACCTTCACGGGGTTGTGGAAAGCTGAAGGGAGAAACTACAAACAGCCGTGGCAAAAACTGGGTCATCAAAGGAGTCAGACCAATAATAAAAAGCTTTCTAAACTTTTTTTGTTCAGCTCCACCACCCCATTTTTAAGCTAAATCCCTGGAAGATTCTTTTCCTCTCCTCTTCAGCCTGCCAGTCACTCATCAAGGTAAGTCACTTACAGATTTTGTCACCCTCTTTCTAGGCGCAGGTAGCAAATTTAGCAAATTAAATTGTTAAAGGAGGTAGAGAGTGGAGGGCAGAAGCCGAGAGTTTAAGCTTCCTTTGACCGGTACCAAAACACTGCTGGGGGAGGGGAGGAGAAAGATCAACAAGTTTGTCCTTTCCAACAATTTTTAAAATTCTTTTCTTCACTGAAACAAGTGGGATTGTGGAGGAGGAAGAGGTTAAAATAAGGAGAAAGTTTTGGAAAGCTTGTCTGGCAGCTGCCACCTTCGCATGCTGGAAGTTCAGTTCCCCAAAACATAGGAAGAGCTAGGGGAGGCCTGCAGTCTCCTTACTGCCAGTTGGTCAGGGCAGAAGCCTAGCCCGCAAGCAACGGTTCAAAACATCAGGGCTTCTCGCAATTAAGCACGTTTGGGAGCCCCTTCGGCAACAGAAGAGGATGCTTAGGCCCTAATCCAGCTAAGCACTTCCCTCCTGCTGGGCTGTTTTTGTCTTTGCAAAGCTTGTTTACCTCCTTTTTGGACTCAGCTGGGTGTTCTGCTTCCCACATGGTGACTTGACTTATAATCACGATGACTTATGACCATAATTCCAAGCTCAATTGTGGTTTATACACTCTTATTATTGGCCTTTTGTGCCATACTTTTACAACTTTCTTACATTGATCTGTGGGTTAGTCTGTGCAGGAGTGTGTACATATACAATTTCTCAAATGGGATTATCATTAGTTTTACAGAGCAAGGAGAAAGGGTTTTTACTTATTTACTATTTGTTTTATATGGCCACCCATCTCAAACGTATAATTCTGGTAGCTAGCAGTACTTAAGTTAAAAACGGTATAACAAAATGTTTATTATATATTGTATATAGCAGCCAAGAAAAACCAACCAACAATGAACACAGCCATGATATATGCCCAAATCCCATATTCGGGGTCCGTGTCATGTTTTGAATTTTCTGTAATTTCTAATGACAGGTTGTTAGGATACAGCCAGACATCCAGGGAACTAGTGCCACGTGAGGCCTCAGTGCCAGAGATGAATCTATGCTATGGGGGGGGGGGGGGGGGGAGGCACTTATATCAGAACCCAAAATCTACTCAGTTCCTAAATATATGAGTTAATCTATAGTTCTTTGATCTTGAAAAGATCCATGAAGCTGATCTACTGCAACCTTTTCAAGAACCTTCTCAAGAAATGTGTGTGCTCAATATGATTGTATTTCATCAAGTCTCATCCAGGGATGGTCTCATTTGCTTTTCCCAGGGGTAATGCTGTAAAATGTTTTTGGAAGAGTCAAATAAAACAACCCCTGGATGCTATGAGAACTGTTGATAAAATCTCTGATACTGAAAGAAGGAAAAAAATAATGAAGGCTCCCTCAATTTACTTCATAGATATTCCCATGAAGCTGAGATAATATAGAAATGATTTGTCATCACCATCTGAATTTTTATTGACTACCACCATCAGAATGTTTGTGCAATCTTTTTATCTGAACTGATGAAGTTTGCAGTGAGATGCAAATACTTGCCAGCATCTATTTGAATAAGTGACATTGCACCATGAAATTATTCCTTGCATAATAACATATATTTTCCCATTCAGTTATACAATACATACTTTGCCCTTCCAAAACCTACAGCTTTCAGCTTTTCTGTGCGTGCATAAATGTTTGTATAAAACTGAATCTTCCTTTGAAAAATATGTAGAATATTAACTTAATACGTAGGGGATCTGAGGGCCTGGCCTATTGGTTTATCAAATTATTAGAGGCCTTTGCAAGTGAGCCATGAATTTACTTCAATTGGAGCTACTCCATGTTAATTACTCTATTTTTGCCTTTGCTGAAATTATAGTAGCAGTCATTCAGTACTAGCTTTGCTATCTGTTAGCAATGAGGTAAGGGGCCTGACTGCAAATGCTTCCTACAGTATGTAAGAAGCTCGCAAGATGTGGCTGAAAAATTATTCAGGTGGGCCTCTTACTAAAACAAGGAAAGGTGGCATTTAGCTTAAGCTGCTGTCAAGAATTTCCAGGAAAAATCCAGAGTTAGAAAATTAATCATTAGCATGTTAAAACACACACCGAGAGGTGGAGAGCTTAGCTAATTAAGTGCACCTTAATTAAGTGCTTATTTTGAGATTTATTTAGCAGCATATGTTAAATATTGAAAAGTTATTCAACCCAATTTTTAAATGCGATGGTAAAGTTTGACCACATAGAATAATACTGCTCAATCTTTTAATTATAAATTCCTTTTATACATGGAACAGAAACGTATATGATTAAAATTGTAAACCAGGTATGAACAATAAGATCTGCATCTCATACTTGGTAAATCCACAATTCTTCATAGACTGCTTGTGGAAACAGGCTGATTCCTCTGTTGATTCTGCTGCCAGGTTCTGCCTCTTCTACAGAAGCCAATCTAATAATATATTTTGTTTTTCTTTATGTTTCCAGGAAGTAAGATTTTTTAAAAAAATTAATACAATATTGACCATAAACATGGGAAAAATTATCATTTGCTCTATTATATCAACAGGTCACATAATGGAACCAGCAAATAAGTTCCTGTATAAACACAAAGGATGCTATTTTGTACCAGTGGTGTCCTCACCTGAAAATATAGATTCATTGGAAAGTTTTGAAATCCGAGATGATGACATATTTATAATCACATATCCTAAATCTGGTAAGTTTAAATATGTCTTCTGAGGTAGAATTAATCATATATCTAATTCAGTCCTTCAATATTTTGGTTGCTGCAACTTCGCTATGCTGTAAACAGATTTTAACATTTGGCATTTTTTTAAAAAAAGTTGTAGGAAATGTAGGAAAATAAAGCTTCATTTTGATCATTTTAATTTTATTTTTCTTTGCAGAGCTCACTTTCTCTCATACATACATCAAATATTTTAGAAGAAGCAACTGTTTTTTTATGTTTCTCTGAAATGTTTACTATTGTTTCTGATAGGAAGGTATGCTTTGCATAATTTCAGCATTGTTCAAGTAATAATGACTCTGCATGAATTAATTTAGTTGTTTATTTGCAGGCACAATATGGACTCAGAATATTGTGAACCTGATTCTTCATGAAGGTCATCGAGATGGAACTGAAACTATTACCTTGGTTGACAGAGCTCCATGGCTGGAGTGTAATGTTTTCCACATAGATTTTCCCAATCGCCCATCACCCCGTCTCTTTACTTCCCATCTGCCCTACTATTTGGTACCCAAAGGATTGCAAAATAAAAGAGCAAAGGTAGGACCTATTTTGCTACACTATCTGTATCCTGGGATGGATTGGGGAGCTGTCTGTCTTCTTTTATCTCTATATCTGAATGTTTTACTGAGAAATATTCAAGGGCAAAGACACAGATGCTACATTGTTCCATTGTGTTTGGTGGGTGCTGACAAGATTTGAAGTATGAGAAAAAAATACCTCAAACGAAACAGGGAGCACATAATGTCACGGCCAGCAGAAATAGGTTAAGGAAGGGGGGAGGAGATGGAAAAGACAGGCAGCGGAGCAGAGGTTTATCTTGTTTTTTTTATTTTAATTTAAAATGTGGTTCTTAATCATTTATATGTGTTTTATTTGTGTCACTATGTATCACCATATGTCACTACGTGAGATTGACAGCTACACAAATAGCTAGCCAGCCAGCTAGATAGATAGATATTTCATTCATGAACAGTTAACATATTGTGAAATAAAATAGAAATGGACTTCTGACTTCCAGAAGGCCCCCTTAGGTCTACCCAACGTTCAAGGAAGACTTTCATCCATCCTACTTTCTTCCTGCTGCATGAAATTGAAAGCTAGCCTTGCATTCATTCCAGTTGGAGTCTCTGACAGTCACTTTTTGACTAGATGTTATCATTTTGCTCCTACAGATTATTTATGTGTTGAGAAATCCAAAGGATGTCTTGGTTTCTACCTATCATTTTTCCAAAATTACACCTGTAAGGGAAACACCAAAAGATTTTGATACATTCTTAGAGTGGTTTTTGGCTGGCAGAGGTAAGAAGGACTTGATTGTGACAATGTTTTGTCAGTTTTTGTCTTGGATAAGAGATTATGAATATATTTCAATCTATTTCCCACAAAGAGCAAACAACCCACCCTCTCCCCTAAGATAAAATAAGAATAATGATTCTCTATTTTCATGCAATAATTTATGTAAATTTTATGAAACAGTTTATAATGGGATGAATTGGTGGAGATGAATGCAGGACTCTTAGGACAACTCATGATGTTAAAGGGGATGGGAGAGGCAAGAGAAGGCAGTTTATTAAGGGAGGTGAGAAGAAATATTAGGATCCATTTAATAAGGAGAAGAAAAATTGAGAAAGGTAAGTGGTGGTTTAAAATCAGGATGTGATTGTGTTGGAAATATATGGACAGAATTTAAAATTAGCAAAAGTTAATATTCATTTGAAAAGTAGAGAGTTTCATTTCTCTACTACCAGTGCCTAGTATTTTGTGGCTAGACCATATAAAAGGTGATACGCTCATAAGGGTGATTTCAATATTCCTTTCTTATGAAGAAATGAAAAAGTTAAGATGTGTAAATATGAACAACCTACTTAAGGTATTAAATATAAGGTAGCTAAAGACTAACTTGAAATCATATGGAGAGCATTTAAAGGTTGGAAATAGAAGAGAGCTAACTAGAGTAAGTCTGATATTTGTAAATGTATAAAAAAATTAACTCAGATTGCCCCAAAGATCCAAATAAGGAAAAGCAAAAGAAACACAACAGTATAGCAGCATCTTGACAAAACTCTCCTCTTAACAAGTGAGAGTATGCAACTACATTAGTTATTCTTCCCTCTCCTCTCCACATTCACTGGTATTAGGGTGACCCCTCAGTTGAGCTTTGATCTATAGGCCCATCAGGTTATAAGGATAAATGGAAGAAATTCAAGCATTAAGAATTCAAGAGCCATGGTGGCACAGTGGTTAGAATGCAGTACTGTGGGCTATTTCTGTTGACTGCTGGCTGTTCGATTCTCATCGGCTAAAGGTTGACTTAGCCTTGCAACCTTCCGAGGTCATTAAAATGAGGACCCAGATTGTTGGGGGCAATATTCTGACTCTGTAAACCACTTAGAGAGGATTATAAAACACTGTGAAAAGGTATATTAGTCTAAGTGCTATTGCTATCCCTGAGACTGACTGTTAGCTGGAACATTGCAGTCCCCAGCTAAACAATTGAACCAAGTGATTTTGAAGACTGCACTTATATTTATGCCAAATTCATTTCTCTCCTATCAGTGCCTAGTAGTTTGTGGCTAGACCATGTAGAAGGCTGGCATGCTCATAAGGATGATTTCAATATTCTCTTCCTTTCTTATGAAGAAATGAAAAAGGTAAGACAATGTAAATGCGTAATGCACTATGAACAACTTTGAAGCACAGGAGACTTTAGAAAGCAAGGAATGTGTAGACTAACTTATTCAGGAAAGGAGCAAACAGCTAATTACAGAACACTCTTAGTTATATTTGTGAACTCCTGAAGGACTGGTGAAATTTCTGAAAAAAAGTAAATGTCACCTCTTCAAAAGACAGGAGGAGGAAACAATTAATGAACAATGTGCACTTGTCTAGGTATGCTAGAATTCATAGAGCCAGCATGTATCTGTTGGAAACCAATGTTATAAAAACAAACGTTGATCTCACTCTTTGATAGAGTTACTGACTGGTAAAGGAATGCAATATGCACCTGTAATTCAGCAAAATCTTGGCCAAAGTGTCTCATAATATTCTACTGTTTTGGCTCAGAAGAGACTGGTTCAACTCAACTGCATTTTCAAGAGAGGTCAAGCCATTTTTTTAACCTAGCTTCAGAATTGGCCAGCCTCTGATGCTGCCAAGATTGCTAAAAATATAAGAGTCTGAATCTTAGGAAAATTTTGGCATATAAATATACTGAAATCCAAAAATATTTCTCAGTGACTTGTCTCTTGGAAACCTTTAGTAGCAGTCCTAAGGAAACATTTCTGTGTTTAATCCATTGATATTGCTTCCTATGTACATGTATAGTTTTCATTAAAAAAAATAAACACAAATGACATAATCAGGGTAATTTTTTTCAGTAAGAAAAGAAAGAATTAAAGATTAAGGGAGTGAGTGGCAGCAATGATACGTCAGATATTAACAAACTTTTCCATCTTTTCTCCTTTGTTGTGAACGGCCTAATATAAAGCTGTATCAAATTGCAGGATCTAAGGAGGTCTGTACTGAAAATATGCAGCTTCCTAGGAAAAAAACTAACTGCAAAGGAGGTGGATGATGTGGTGGATAAAGCTACATTTGATAACATGAAAGTGGATTCTAGAGCAAACTACACATTCATGCCTTCTGACATTGTAGATTGCAGTAAAGGAGACTTTCTTCGCAAAGGTAAATCAGTAATTCATACTGTTTTTCATATATTTGACTTCATCTTAAACCAGGATTACTGCCTTCATTTGAAAGACACCTCCTTAAATGATATAAACATGTCCTAATAATCACTCTATCTCCTGCTGTTGTACTAGTTCATCACCAGTCTACATCTGAAGCAGCTATAGGTCCTTCATAGCTATACCAATGTTAAAGTAGTGTTCTCCTTGTCATTCTGGCAGATTTTTGGCATGGATATAATCTGACTGCTTCAATGACCAGTCTGTTGCCTGCATAGTCTAATCATCCTTTGGGAGTGAGATTGTTCTAGCTCACATTGGCCACTTTAGGGTGGTGGAGACACAACTTCTTCACTCTCTACCCTGGACACTGTCCTCCAGTCTTAGAACTTGCACGGTGGCAGGCTTAAAGGATGAGAAAAATAGCCTCTAGTTTAATTCAATTCAAAAACTGTTGACATTTTTAACCATTGTTTCCCAGGCACTGTTGGAGACTGGAAGAGCACCATGACCGTTGCCCAGAATGAAAAGTTTGACCGTGTCTTTAAGGATAGGATAGAAAAGCTGCCCTTCAAGTTCTGCTGGGATATTCAGGAGGATCCTGAGCCTATTTCCAGCTCAGTGGAGGAAAATAATGTGTGATGCCCACCTTCAATGGGCTTGAATCAGAGATGACCTTCCAAGAATAGTCTTTATGTAACATTGTAATGTTTAATTCTCAACTCTGCAAAGATCATCGAACAAAGCAACATGAAATTCTATGCTATTAGTAAAGTAGAAACTGCAGAACACAACTAAAATTACTTCTCTTTGAAATTCTTACTATCATTTGTATTTTTGTATTTTAGAAATGAGAGCAGATAGACTAGAGTTTCAGCATTTGATGTTCAGCTAGATACATACTTATCACGTATTACAATTTGCCATGTCCCAGCATGGGTTTTCTTATGCAGCTCAGAGTCTTTCTCCA